CTGCATAATTTCTAAGAGCCCTTCAAATTCTGAGATTCTGTGGCCAGTCAGGGAAATACTGACATGACCTGTGTTGTGTCTTCTTGGGACAGGAACATCCACAGATACTAAAGCATGGTTTTACATTATATTTTTTTAATAAGGGAAAATTATTTCAGAAGGATAGGTTGACAAAGGACACGGTGAATTTCCAAAATTAACTGTGAAAGACGGATCATCTGGGCATGACTGAAAGCCGTGCATAACCTTTGTGCTCCGATATTTCATTTCAAAAATGTCACTTTCTGCTTATTCAATGCTACTGTCATTATACTATTTTAAGCATTAAAATTTGTGTTCTGGAGCTGAACAGGAATTATTGCCTCTATCTTTGGGTTTATTAGAAATAATTTAAAATTCATTCAATAGCAATAAAACTCACCTTTTTTTATTATGGTTGAATTTAGTTTAATGTGGAAATTTGCAAGCAATTTTCATTGTCTTTTATTAGCAGTATTTCAGCATCTATGTATATAGATCAAGACTGTTTTGAAGTATTCTCTAAAGAAATGACTTTTTAAACATGATTTTTTTTCTTTAATTTTTAATGGCCTAGAGTGAGGTTAAGGTAGAATAAATTATGTGACAATGTTGTTTAAAATTTCAGACTTTGCCTTATATGGGCAAACTTTAAAAAAAAGCGTATATGACAGTTAAAACAAATTTTTATTTCTCCATGAATTATTTACTCAATTGCAAGGGGGATATGGAATGGGGAGCAACTATTGCCCGGGAAAAAAAAAAAAGTCTCCAGATATCAAAGGAGTGAATCTGTTTATTCATCCCTATCATCTGAAATTTACTAACACTTTACTATCTAAATAAACCTCAATACGCTCATTTCAAATTTGGATCAATACAAAGAAAGAGGACCAGGAAACAAAATGTGCTTGCATTATATGAATCTGCCTGCATTAGGCTCTTTTTATCACACAGGGTAACGCAGAGGAATAAGGTTGCCCAGATAATGAAGTATTCCTTGGGCAAGGCCGGCTGGGGAATTACTTCAGCTGGTGGGCAGTAGAACAACGTGGAACAGGACAGAATGTGCCGAAGCAAACTACAACAACCAAAAAGCATCCAGAAAATGGGTTGGGATCAGAAGCACATGCCCTGGCACAAATTAGAGATCGACGAGTCAGACTGAGAAAAGCAACCAGAATTACAGGTTGTGGGTACCAGGATGGATAGCTGGGAGGAATATTTCTGTATTTAGGTGTAATTGCTCTTTGTGACATGACTCCAGGGGATAAGAGGATACAGGGCAGAGGCAGGTGAAACGTACATTTAAAAAGGCTGGGAGAGAGTTGTATTAATTTTGAAAATAACAAAGCTATTTCAAGTATTTTAATGCCAGAAGATGGAATTAAAGTGAGTGCTTAACATTCAACTGTACAGGGTCTTTATGCCTAATGAATACATTATTATCCAAGTCATTTTGGGTTTCCATAACAAAATACCATAGACCAGCTTAAACAATAGCTTAAACAATAGACATTTATTTCCTCTCGTTTCTTGAGGCCAGAGGTCCAAGATCAACGTGCTAGGATAGTTAGTTGGTTTCTGGTGAAAACTCTTCCTGACTTGTAGATGGCTGCCTTCTCACTACATACTCACATGGTGGAACCCTCCCCCCCCCTGCCCCCAGCCATGAGGGCCCAATCCTCATGATCTCATCCAAACCCAATTATCTCCCAAAGGCACCATCTCTAAATACCATTATATTGGGGGTTAGTGCCTCAACACGTTACTGTGGGAGGGATGCAATTCAGTCCATAGTAAAAGTGAATTTTGATTATCTAAGAGTCACCGTAAGAGTCACATATTATATTTTATTCCCCTGGTAAGACAGTATCTGTGTTTAGTTTGGCACTGAAGTGGTCTCATAGTACGAATGGATTGCCTATATTCCTTCCTAATGAATAGTTGCTCTACTTTAATTCTATGCTGTGTTCTCGAACAAAACCTTTTCTTTCTTCAATCATTTCATAGATATGAAGTATTTTTACTTATTTTTTTTCTCTTCCTTTTGGCACGCAGAATGAGTGTCATCTGCTCACATTTTGAGTATAACCCAAGCATTGGTCGTGCCCATTCCAAAGGCCATCTTCTAATCTATGTGGGAAGAGGGACGTTGATTCCAAGGTTGTTCGTGAGGCTACTGCCTCCCTAAGTATCAAGTCATTACCAGCCCTACCACTGACCCCTCCTTGCCTGGGAATCCTGGGTTATAGTCTTACCTTAGTGTAGTCTGCTTCCTAGTCTTGGGCTCAGATGCTTGAATTCTGCCTGTCCTGTTATTTCTTTCCATATAACTACCCAAGTCTAGGTGGGGATATCAGACTTTATGAAAGGTTAAAGAAAACAAAAGCAGATTATAATTTAGAAGGTATAAAAAGGCTAATTTTATTCTACATGTGACCACTCCCATATAATGAATTATCATCTCATGGACACATTAATTCCTAGTTTTAGGTTTACCCTCCATTCACAGAGCACCTCGCCAATCAGACTTCTCTCCTCTAAGGTTTCCCCTTTAGCCCAACCCACTCAATCTCTAGAACCCAATAATCAGTGGCAAATATTTTCCCAGAGTGTGAGTTACTTAGCCTATATAAGACTCTGAGGTGGAAGAAGGTAGGAAACAAGCTTCAGAAGAATAGTCTGGATAGGCTTTTGTTCCTCTGCGTATTAACTCCCTGGCCCTCAAGTACTAAGTCAACTTTATTCAATTATGTATAATTTTACTTTATGCATCGGGCTCACATTTTTATATATCATCTGATGGGTTTTTTAATTCATGAAAATTAACATACACAGTAGTCTTTAAAACCAGTAAACTTTAAGACCAGTGAGAGATACAGAGAGGAGCTACTGGTCCACTTTGAGTCCCTCCTAAAGAATTCTCTAGGTATTTTTCACCCAATTGTGTCTCTAGGCTTTTCCCTTTTGGCACTAACAGACTCTATTGCTATAACCCCCTGGAACTCAGCATCTAGTTTTTCCCGATATGAGTTAAAGGAGAAGCCCAGATACATTAAGAAACTTCCCTTCAAAGAGGTGTTTGAGTGTAGTGAGTAAAAACTCACTCATTAGGGGCACAGAAGAGTAGAATATTTGAAAGAATGACCCAGAAAAGTGAGAGACATAACCACTTCTAGAATGTTTGATGAGCTTCCTCCCTCTGAAGCCATGTTTGATGTGCAGAGCAGCCTGCTAACTAATCTTTAAGCGCTCACTTCTCCCTTAGTAAGCTTTAGAAAAACTCTTGTGTCATAGTATGCTAATTGAAAAAAGCAAAATGATCTCAGGTGTTTCCTGATTTGTGTCTTGAGACCCCCCCATCCCCGCCCTTAAGGCTGCAAATTGTCGGGAAGCCTGTTATTTTCTCAATCGTTTTACACCTATAAGCTACACTGTCACCTTACATTATATGCTACTATTTACCGTAAGTAACTGCATTCCACCACACCGCATAATAATGATAATCATTGTAATCATATATCAGCACAATGAGCTAATGAGATAATAACAAGATGCCAGTACCTTCCCTGCATGCTAAATAATTGATTTCAGTCACAGACAAGTTGCTAGCCTGTTCCACCCCACTGTATAGTGTCAGAGTTTACGTTTCACTACAAGGGGTGCCCGCAGTAGGCTGTTGAATGCACTCGTACGTATATCTGTTGTGAGTTTCCAAAAGTTATTCTTGAAGCTTACACAGCATTCTCTGGTTTATTTCCTTGTAAGGCGCTCGAGGGGGTTCTGATGTCTCAGTGCAACATACCTAATAAATTCATTCCAAGATAGCATTTGGGATATCAAAAGAGATCTCATGAACAAAAACAGACAAATACACCCTAATCAACAATACCTGGAGATTCAGAGATTAACTTGTCTAGCCTCATAAGATTTTCACATCAATTTCCCTTGAAATATCAGACCCATCTGTATAGAAGTTATTTATCTGAACCAAGGCAGAGATTAAGTCTAGCAGGCTAGGACATTTTTATCCTAAATGAAAGTGAGATGCGATCATGTGCAATAGCCACAACATTAAAAGGGCTCAAATCCCATGGTATTTTTGTGACCATTTGTGCTCAAAGAAACTTGATTTTGTCCTCCTGAGTTTCTCACTTAATTCTTGGAGGTTAATCTTTATGAAGTTTATGATCGTTTTTATGGAACATGTTTCATCGGAAGGTTTCTCTTTAGAAATTCTAAGGCAGAGGGACGAATTGCCCTGGTTAATGCTTTGTCAGTGTCGGATTATTAATATTAGTTTGAAGACAAATATTAGTACTGTTTTATCAGGTTTTCCTACGTATGGAAAGTGCTTGACTTTTTTTGAGTTTTAGTCTAAGCCTCAAACTAGAAATGAAGCAGATTACCACCTCCCACGCCGATCAAAAATTCATAGCAGTAGGGACGCCTGGGTGGCTTAGTCAGTTATGCTTATGATTTAGGCTCAGGTCATAATCTCGAGGTCCGTGAGTTTGAGCCCCACACGGGGCTCTGTGCTGACAGCTGAGAGCCTGGAGCCTGCTTTGGATTTTGTGTCTCCCTCCCTCTCTCTCTCTCTGCCTGTCCCCAGCTCTCACACTGTCTGTCTCAAATACAAATAAATATTAATTAAAAAAAAAGGGGGGGGGGCGCCTGGATGGCTCAGTCGGTTAAGCATCTGACGTCAGCTCAGGTCATGATCTCACAGCTTGTGAGTTCGAGCCCCATGTCTGGCTCTGTGCTGACAGCTCAGAGCCTGGAGCCTGCTTCGGATTCTGTGTCTCCCTCTCTCTCTGCCCCTCCCCCATGCATGCTCTGTCTCTCTCTGTCTCAAAAATAAATAAAAACTTAAAAAAAAAAAAAAGTTCCTAGGAGCCAACTCGAGTAGAAGTCATTTTCGAAGGCTTTCCTATTGTAATAATCTATTTTACCTTTTTTTTTGATTTTCTCTTTTGCAGTGTCCGCCAAACCGAGACCCCACAGTGATGAATATTCCAAGAAGATCCCTCCTCCCAAACCCAAACGCAACCCGAACACTCAGCTGAGCACCTCTTTCGATGAAACGTACATCAAGAAGCACGGGCCGCGGAGGACGTCGCTCCCGCGCGACCCCTCCCTGTCCCATGTCAGCAGCCCTGCGGGCGACCCCGAGGAGGAGGAGCCCGTGTACATCGAGATGGTGGGCAACATCCTCAGAGACTTCAGGAAGGAGGACGACGACCAGAGCGAGGCCGTCTACGAGGAGATGAAATACCCCATCTTCGACGACTTGGGCCAAGATTCCAAATGTGACCTTGACCATCACAGTTGCTCTTCGCAGTGTGCTACTCCCACGGTGCCTGACTCGGACTTCGCCAAGTCCTCCGTGCCATGTACTCCAAAGGGTTTGCTCTGTGACATCCCCCCGCCCTTCCCCAACCTGCTCTCCCACAGACCCCCGCTGCTGGTGTTCCCCCCCGCGCCCGTGCAGTGCTCCCCCAATTCCGACGAGTCTCCGCTCACCCCGCTAGAGGTCACCAAGCTGCCCGTGCTGGAAAACGTGTCTTACATGAAGCAGCAGCCGGGCGCGTCGCCGTCCGCACTGCCCTCCCACGCCTCCGGCCATCCCAAGCTGGACAAAGAGCAGGCGGCGGCCCTGGGCCCGAGCCCCGCGGCCTCCGCGGCCACCGCGCTGTCCTCGTCCCCGCCCCC